CACTTTTCCCAAGTGCAATCGACTCTGTCCCATGTAATTTACTGCCCACCAACCGTATGACCCTGTTTCCCCCCCTCCTCCCACGGTGTGTCATAAATCACATTCTCCAACAGAGTGGGCTACAGAAAACACACCTCTCTGGCTTGCTGTAGTAACCTGGGATACAACCTGGAGAAAGGTATGTGTGGAATGTGTTTCTGGTCATAGCAACCAAGCTTCTCCCCCTCCTGCGTATGGCAACTCAAGAGCAGTCCAGGAATGCTTTACGAGTTGACATTTGTCCCATTTTACGACCTTTCTTGCCACTGTTGTTAAGTGAATCGCTGCAGGTGTTAAGTCAGTAACACGGTGTTAAGTGAATCTAGCTTCCCCATTGATTTTGCTTGTCAGAAAAAGGGACCACCTGGCCCCGAAACGCTGCAACTGTCATAAATATGAGTCGATTGCCAAGCATCTGACTTTTAATCACATGACCAGGGGGACACTGCAATGGTTGTTAAGTGTGGAAAACAGTCTTAAGCCATTTTTTTCACTGCCATTGTAACCTCAAATAGTCACTAAATGAACATTTGTAAAGTTGAGGACTACCTATGTTTATTATATTATTTTCCTTATTGGTTATTTTCTGATCGCTTTCTTCATGTGCCAACCAGAGCAGAGTCTTGATGCAACCATTAAAATGATTGATTCTGCTTTTGAAAGCCAACGAAGTCAGATTTTTCTCTCAAGAGAAGCCATGTTCTGAAGACCTGGGGTGGCTTTGGAAACACCTGAACCCATGCTGTTGGGAGACAGATCAACGGTGAAGGGACAGTAAGGCAGATCTTGAAGATTCAGACACAAGTTGTGGTGATGTAATGGTTAAAAATCTGTTTGCTTTACCATATTTCATGTGGAAATATTATAAATATAAGTGTGCAAATGCAAGTACCATATTTTTCAAAGTATAAGATGCTCCAAAGTATAAGACACACCTAGCTTTTGGGGAGGAGAACAAGAGGGGGGAAAATCTGGCACTGCCTCCTAGCAATTTGCCTCCTTGCAGCAAACAGCAAACAACCTGTTTCAGCTTCAGCACAGCCTGATTAGCACAAGCAGCTGATTGTTGGTTGGATCAGCTTCAGGCTGCAGAGATTGCCATAGCCTATTGCCGCCGCCTTGCGCCCCATTTTCAGCCTCCACGCCCCGTTTTCATCCTTCTTGTGCTCCATTTTTGGCCCATTCCGGGCAGCGAGGATCAGAACAGGCAGAAAATGGGGTGTGCGGAGGCTGAAAATGGGGCGCACGGAAGCAACGATAGGCAATGGCAATCCCTGCAGCCTGAAACAGCTGATCGTCGGGAGGCCGATCCAACCAATCATCAGCTGTTTGTGCTAATCAGGCTGCACTGAAGCTGAAACAGGCTGTTTGCTGCAGAGTCAGATTGCTGGGAGGCAAAGGGCAAAGGGTGGGGGCCGGCAGGCGGGTGGAGCTTCGACAACATTCGTTGCATAAGACACATAGACATTTCCACCCACTTTGGGGATGGAAAAAGGTGTCTTATACTCTGAAAAATACGATAGATTAATAGGTACTACTTTGCTGGGAAGGTAAGAGTTCCGTGTGTCTTTGTACATAGCCATGCTGACCACATGACCCTCGGCCAAGAAATGAAGATGAGCACCATTCTGTAGAGATGGATATGACTGGACAGGGAAACCTTTACCTTTTTACAGGTAGTCCTCGACCACAATTGAGCCCAAAATTTATGGTGTTGAGCGAGACAGTTGTTATGTGAATGTTGTCCCATTTAACAAACCCGTCTTGCCACAGTTGTGAATCACAGCAGTTGTTAAGTTACTGTTCTGACCAAGGCTTCCTAGACAGTAATTACGCGCATGCTTATTTTAAAAACAAGTCTTATTTTATTGCAACACTGGGAATTGTTTTCATTCCCAGCCGGTAATTAATCTCAAACAGTCTCTCCTGTTTAGCACCCACCTTTCTTTCCTGTGAAGTGCTGCCAATAACAGAAGTATCAAATGATCTAGGAAAAAAAACCAACTGAAGTTTGAAGAGCTTCAAGAATGACTCTGAACCAATCGAACGACTTTGCTTTCCTGCAAAGGTTTTATCATCTTTGCCTGTCCGTTATCCCTTATGGGAGGGGCAATCACCTCCCAGTCTTACTCCTGAGTCATCCCTTTTGTCTCAGCTGCTCTCACCTTCTAGCAGCTCTGGGCACATGCATACTGGGAACAGACTCCCCGGGGTCCTCTACCTTGCTGCTGCCAGATTCCAAAGGCTCCAGAGGCAGCAACCCACTCCCAGATGGTCCTGGCCCCATCTCTGCACTGGACACAGGACCGTTGTCCGAGTCCTCCTCAGACTCCCAGATTTATCCCTTCTTCCCCACTGTCCGATTCCGCTGCTGTCTGCACAGGCTGCTGGCGAACCACAAAAGTTACTGACAAGGTTGTTAACTGAATCTGGCTTTCACACTGACTTTGTCAGAAGGTCGCAAAAGTTGATCACACGATCCTGGGGCACAGCAAGCGTCATAAATATGAACCAATTGCCAAAGCATCTGAATTTTTTATTGTGTGTCCATGGGGATGCTGCAATGGTCATAAGTCAGTTTTTTCCAGTGCCATTGTAACTTCCAACGGTCACTAAAGGAACTGTTGTAAGTTGAGGTCTACTTGTACTTGTACTGATGGTTGGCGGAAGGAGTTTTCTTTCCCTTTGAAAAAAAAAAGTGGCTGTAGCAATGGAGATATTCCAAGGAAAAACACAAATTGGATTAACTATTTTGATAGTATTGGATCACTGACTCCCATCCAGGGATCCTACAGATGGAAATTTTGATTTCATTACCTACTTGAAATTTTCCTCTAATGTTTACAAAGTGAGTGTCAGGATTCCGGCAGTTACTCCAATTAAATCATGAGCCTCGAGCCACACTCCCAAAGTTAACATTGAAGTTAACATTCTACGTCTGGCACTAACCTGGGTGTAGCCAACTCTGAGATACGTAATTCACTGTCACCCTTGATCCTGCTTTTCTCCCCGCCCACCCCTCTGAGTGTATCATCCAATGAAAAACGTCCATAGCCAAGAGTCATCAATCATGCTCTCCAATTAGATTTTTTTTCCTGCAGAAGCTTCAGTCATCTAATCAGTCTTTGAAGAAAATATGAATGGAACGTACTTTTGATTCCACACTGCTGCCTGCTCTTTGAAACTCCTCGCCCCTTCTTTCTGTTGTCAACTATAAATGTGTATACAAAATGTTTAATGAGTTGATAGTGAGAACTTTGTTCTTCCTTCCTACCGAGTACACACAAAAAAGTAGTAGTAGTACATGAAAAGCCAAGTTTGGCAATAAATATTTGATAGCATATATCCATGATGGTGAACCTATGGCACAGGTGGCACACAGAGCCATTTGTGTGGGCATGCGAACCCCAGCCAAACTTACCTGCACTGCGCATGCGCGCACCTCCCACCTGATTTTTGGCCCATTTGAGGCTATTTTCACCCTCCCAGAGGCTAAGGAAAGCCTCTGCAGCCTTGGGAGGCCGAAAAATGGGCCTTCCGGAAATACCAGAAGTGTCGAAATGGGCCTGTTTTAAACTTCCCAAGGCTCCAGAGGCTTCCCTCGAGCCTCCAGGAGGGCAAAAATGGCCTCCCCTGGGCTCCAGAGGCTGAAAACAGGTACTTCCACTTAACAAATGTCTTGCTTAGCAACTGAAATGTTGGGCTCATTTGTGGACAAAAGTCAAGGACTACCTGTATAACAAAACAAAAAAAGAATCCTGTTAAAATGGAAGCTCTTCAGTTGGACGACGGTAGGCTGAACCAAAATCCAAGCATGAGACCAAAAAAGAGAGACCCTTTAAGAAATTGAGTTGTTGGCAGTTTTTTTATTTATTACTTTTTTTTAATGGATTCCACAGAGGGTTAAAAGAGGCAGTGAGTGAATTGTCTAGACTTCTAGAACTGGTCATCAGCAGAATTGTTCTCAAGAACATTGTTACAAGTTCTCCTTCATCCACATTACACAAATACATAACGTGGTGCTGCTGAAGGAAAAGTGTCCTCGGTGATGACTTTAGTCTTGTGAGTTTGCAGAGAAATGGCATTGAGGAAACTGTTGTGAGCTGGGAAAACAGTGGAGAATAACTCTACACTCTCAGAAACCCGAAATTAAAGCACCATGGTATACAGTATGCTAAGCAGAGATATCAGATACCATTTACAAAGTTGAGGAGTCCTTGCTGCTCTCTGAGCTTGGTTGTTTGCTTGCAAAGGTTTCATTACCCATCTGATGCCGTAACCTAGTCAGGTAATGAAATGTCTGCAAGAAACAACCAAGCTCAGAGAACACCAAGGATTCCTCAGTTCAACCCTGAGCTGCAGATATTCTCCTCTACTGCTATTTTTGAGAACATTTCAGAGGCACTGAAGGTCATGTGAACCTTCATCACCACTGAGACTTCTGCCAGGACATATAAAGTATTAGATTTCCACCATTACTGGTTACAGAGATACCTCCTAATCCGCAATACCAATGGTATTAGAATTATCCAGTTCTCTAACAATGGAAGATGATCTGTCTGCCAAGCCAGTCAAAGATCATTTGCAATAACAATCGCAAGCCGACCTTGGCTACAAAATACCTCTATTTTCCAAAACTAATATAACGATATAGAAAGAGAGAAAAACAAAGGTCCTATTTTGGCCACCATTTTGGAGGCAGACTTCACAATAAAAGCTCCTAAGGATCTTCCAAAAAAAAAAGGCTGCCCACAACTATATCTCAGTATCTATTGCAATAATCTTGTCCCAGAAAATCCTCTCTTTGACAAAGAGGAGGAGGAGGAGGAGGGGGGGGGGAGAGGAGGAGGAGGAGGAGGAGGTGGTGTTAATCTTAATTCATCCAAGTAGGGTTGAAATTTGGGAACCTTATTAAAATAGAAGTTACTGATGAATTGCTGAAAGGCCAAGCTTCCTGGTGTGGTTTTTATTAAGTTTTGGGAGCAAGAGATATAAACCCTTTTCTATGCCAGAGTAAAAATCTTTCTAAAGGGTAACATAAAAAAAAAGGTAAAGAGAGAAAGTAAAGAGAGGTATGACTTGGTGGGAGAGAAGGTCCAATGTAAATTAAAAAAGAAACAGATGCCAAATTTAAATGTGACCTAATTAGCAGGCATGGGAATTAGAGTGGCCCTCTGCTTCATAAGGAAGTGGAGAAAAGAAGAGCTACATTGCTCTGCACGAAGAAAACAAGGAAAGGGCTCCAGGAACTGGGGGAACCTGTATTTTTGTGTGGATCCATAGGCACTAGATCTCCAGCTTCTTGTTGATGAGAAGAGAGCAGGAACTGAGAGTACCACCAAGTTTGGCTACTTCTGTGCACGCCGCAGGGATCAGGGTGTAATCTGGAAGCTTCTGAAAAGGCTAAGAACACAAGCAAACAGAAACATGTTATTTCTCTTTACAAATGCAGCCCCCTCCTAACTCGGCTCTTTAAAGCGGGGATAGATCATGTTTTCAGAACTGGAGCCACACCTGGTATTTTGAGATGTGGCAACCTTAAAACTTCCTCACAATGCACTCACAACCCAATTGATTTCAGAGACCTGCTCGCTCAGAAAATGGCCGCCACCACAGACCTATTAGTCACAAAACATTCAATTATCAAAAAGGTAAATTAGTTTCTGAGATGCTCTTTGCCATCCCAGAAGGATCTTTGGGGGTACAGAGTACAGAATAATAGAGTTGGAAGGAACCTCGGAGGTCTTCTATGTATATGGAGGAGACTCTATACCAGGGGTGTCAAACTCAACACCCGTGGGCCAGATGTGGCTCATAAGGGAGCTTAGATCTAGCCTGCGGGGCCACCCTGGAAACAGCAAAGGACCAGTCCGTGGTGCCTCTGTCAGCAGAGGGCTAGCAAAACAAACTTTTTTTAAAAAAGGAGAAATATTTCCTCTTTTACATTTGAGCCTCCAAGAAGGGACAAGAAAGGAGAAAGGGAAAGAGGAAAGAAAAAGAAGAAAAGATGGGACAAGAGCAAGGAAGGAAAAATAAGGCAAGGGGAAAGAAGAAGAAAGGAGAATGAAGAGGGAAGGAAAAAGAAGAAAAGGGAGGAAGGAAATGGAAGGGAAGGGAAGGGAAGGGAAGGAAAGGAAAGGAAAGGGAAGGAAGGAAGGAAGGAAGGAAGGAAGGAAGGAAGGAAGGAAGGAAGGAAGGAAGGAAGATTATAATGAGAGTGAGGAAGGGTCTGAGGGAAGCCCTGCCTTACCACTTTGACACCACAGGTGCCCCCGACACGAGTGACATCAAACTGCCCCTGTCCGAGTCCTCCCGAGGTCAAACACAACCCTGATGCGGCCCTCAATGAAATCGAGTTTGACACCCCTGCTCTAAACCATTTCAGATATATGACTGTCCAATCTCTTCTTAAAAGCCTCCAGTGATGGAGCACCCACAGCTTTGAAGGCAAAGCTGTTCCACTGGTTAATTGTCCTCACTATTAGGAAATTTCTCCTCAGTTCTCAGTTGCTTCTCTCCTTGATTAGTTTCCATCCATTGTGGTAGACAGGCTAATAAAGGAATGGAAGAGTGTATATATATGTGTGTGTGTGTGTATATACACACACACACACACATACGATGTTACTTAGTTTGGGTCATGAAACAACTGCAAGAAAACAACCAAGCTCAGGGAGCACTAAGGACCCCTCATTTCAACCCTGAGCTACAGATATTCACTTCTGTCGGTTGATATATACAACCCAAGGATGGAAGACAAGTTTGCTGGTAAGTTGTCATACATGGCAACTTTCTTCAGGTGGCCAACAATCTGCAAGAAGAAGCTTTTCAATCGTTCAGAAAAGAACCACCTTAACTCGCTTACTATAAATGAGGCTGGGACGAATACACTTACAATTTCTAAACGTTGCAAGAGGAGAATTGCGATAGGGTACGGTTGCTAAAAATCAGGAGTTTAGTCACGCTTTTTCTAAGTAACATTTTTGTAACGGTGTACATTTTCATTCAGCTGTAGGCCACATCATCAGGCGCATGGTGTGTCTGAAGTGAGGCGGGATTTAAACTGGGATGAGGTGAGGAGGAGAAGGACGGGAAAGATGCTCACACTAGTTATGTTAAATAGATAAATAATAAAATAAAATGATGGTACTTGAGTAAGGAAATGTCTACAAGCAAACCCAGCAAGAATCTCACATTTCAGCCCTGAGGTACAGATAATCTCTTCTATTGGAGACAAGTTAGTAATTCAAATGTAGGTTACATTGTGAGGCCAATTCAAAATCGATAATCAACACTTAGGATACATTAAAAACCCACTTAAAGAGGATTTTGAGACTCTAGAAAGAGTGCAGAGAAGAGTAACAAAGATGATTAATGGGCTGGAGGGTAAAACACACAAATAACGGTTGAGGGAATTAGGTAGGGCAGATTATTTTCTTTATCACAACCCCTATGCCTTACATCAGAGAGGAACAATGTTTATACCTTCAATAAGAATGGCTATGCCTAGATTAATGACAAGGAGGTCTAGGGGTGATATGATAGCAAAGTTTCAATACCTAAAGGGACAACACAGCTATTTCCTAAAGCGCCTAGAGGCCAGACAAGGAATTATGGATGGAAACTAAACAAGGAGAGATTTAACCTGGAAAATAAGAAGAAACTTTCTGACAGTGAGAACAATCACCAATGGAGCAAAAGTTGCCCTCAAAAGTTGTGGGAGCACCATCACTTGAGATTGGACTGCCATTTGTCAGGTCTCCCTCTTGGGCAGGGGTTGGACTAGATGACCTATAAGGTCCCTTCCAACTCTGATTATCTTTTATCTGAAAAAAGAGGGAGTCAAGCTATTCTCCAAAGCACCTGAGGGCAGGACAAGAAGCAATGGATGGAAACTAATCAAGGAGAGAAGCAACCTAGAACTAAGGAGACATTTCCTGACAGTTATAACAATTGATCAGTGGCGTGACCTGCCTCCATAAGTTATGGATGCTCCAATACTGGAAGATTTTAAGAAGAGATTTGACAACAATTTGTCTGAAATGGTATAGGGTTTCCTGCTCAACCAGAAGGTTTGACTAGAAGATCTCCAAAATCCCTTCCAATGCTGTTATTTTATTATCCTGGCTACTTGAAACTCCCAGCATTTTGCTTAAACATCAAAATAGATCGAGAGATTGCTGAACTCACTTACATTAAAAAGGTCTCATGTTATCTCACAAAACCTCAAGAAACAGTGGGTTGGATGAGGTGACTTGCAGTTCACGGAAGCCTGTGCCCTTAAATAAACTACAGTATGTCCTTTTTTTATAAAAAAAAACAGACCAAGATTAAGAGGCCTTATAGAGATCTGCACTTCTTGCTTTTTTGATCTTGCCAGACTGCCTGGGGCTTGGCTGCAGGGATCATACCAATGCCTCTAACGCATCTCATTTTTCACTACACTGGTTTCCTATTTAAATTTTTTTATATTTTTTTAAGTGGAATGGGTTCCAGGGAGCTTTCTGAGTATATACTGGTATTTGAGGATGAATAGTATAAGAACCTTTACCTTTCTGATATTTCAAATGTGTCCCAATAGAAGAGAATTATTTGTAGCTCAGGGGTGAACTGAGGGGTGCTTGGTGCTCTCTTCATTTGGTTGTTTGCTTGCAGATGTTTCATTATACGACTAGGGAACATTATCAGCAACAGAGTGTGCCGTTTGCTCTCTGCTTATGTACAGTAGCTTGCCCTGCGAGTGTTGTTGGGGTTATAGTTTTCTCCTTAGTAGTTTCTTGAATAGCATTTTCTACTTCATTGCTTGTCTGCTTTTAATCGCTGCTTATCTGAATGTTGGCTGCTAGAAAGGATGTGTTCTAGCCCTCTCCCTCTCTCCTCTCCCTCCCTCTCTAGTCTCCCTCCCTCCTTCTCTCTCTTCTATCCTCATCACATTTCTGAACCGCCTATCTCCTGGCAATGCACAATTTTTGTTCTTTTCTTAGCCTTTTATTGTCTTTATTGAATAGGGTGTAAATGTGGTTTATCTCTGTGATGGCTGGTATGTTCTGAATGCCAGGTTTCCAGGAATTCCCTAGAATGTTTGGATTTAGCTTGGTCTAAGGCAGGGGTGGGCAAACTACGGCCCGTGGGCCACATCCGGCCCGTTGGTCTTTTTAATCCAGCCCGCCGAAGATTGGTACAGAATTAAGGTTTGATGTGAATGATTGCATTCATTTGATTTTGACTTGCAATGACAGGCATTTCGACACCAGGTGGCGGCCCGTCTGTCAAATTTTAAAAGTCCATGAGGCCCCCCGAGCCAAAAAGTTTGCCCACCCCTGGTCTAAGGTACTCATAGTTTCCCAGCTGAAAGTATAGTTGAACCTGTCCAAGTATTATGAGATTAAGTAATTTTCATTGTGCGTTCTGACAGCTAGTTTATTTTTAGCCTGCCTTTATTAGTTTCATAAATAGCTCAAGGCAGAGAACATTCCTTTCCTCCTCCTGTTACCCACAACAATCCCGTAAGGTGGGTTGGGCCGAAAGAGAATGACTGGCTCAAAGTCACCCAGCTGGTTTTCCTACCTAGGGCAGGACTAGAACAGCTTTCCTCGAGTAAAGGGGTTTTGGGGGGTTGTTGTTGTTTTCTTTTTGTTTTTGAGAAATTGACCAGGCTGTGAAAAGTGAAGGAAAGAAGATGACCAGCAGTGGTGATGGGTGCACCTTTGAAAGTCCTGAAGGGCTAAATAATTCTGGAGAAGGTCCAGCTCTGTGGTCATTAAGATTCAACACAACTTGATGGCACATAAACAATCAATTTATATATATATAAAAGCGAAATACCACTCATGCATCATCACAAAATCTCCAGAACCGTAAAGCTTACAAACTTGAAATTTGGCACGTATGTTCCTCTTGGCTTCTAGGTACTCACTAAGAAAGGATTTTTCAAAATGACCATCACAGCATTAATATTTCGTATATTATTATTAACATGCTCTGCTACTAAAGAGTTCTACTTCCCTTCCCCACCTGAAAAGAAATCTGTTCTAAGAGGAATTTCAGTTTTAGTTTCACAGCAGCAATCAGCTTTAGTACAGAACAGTTGAGCTAAGCCACACCCAGGCTCCTTGCTGTCTCCTTGCTCACACAACAAATACTGTGTCAGTTTCCAAACAGCCATCAGGTCTCTCACACACTGACAGGATGTTAGCTAGATGAATACCGATGGATGCTGGTAGGCAGAGGCAGATTCCACCTCCCCCTATTTTCCTCCCCCAAAACTAAGCCCAACCACATAGTTTTGTAGCGAAGCACGGGTATCGAGCTAGTCAATCATATGCAGCAGATAAAACCCATTAGTGTTCCCCCCAAAAACCCACATCAAGCACCCCCATCCTTCCACGAAACCCAAGTCTCCCCTTCGTCTTACTTGCACGCTGTTCGGATATTCATCTGTGCTGCGATGCAAAAGAACGCTACTCTTCTGGCCCAGACGAGCGTAGATACAATTAGCAGCTGGGTCATCAGGAACTGTCAGCGTTTCGTAGTGGTGATCAGTTAATTGCTCCATGGTCTTCAGAAAAAAAAGAAGGAGGGGGTTTAGAGGAACTCAAGCCAACTACAGCTCTAATCAAGATTAGATCGAAAATATAATTTTCATTTGCTCAAGAGTTCTTTCCACTCTTTCTTGAACTGATTCATTTCCGAATGTCTGTGGAGATTCTCAGTCATCCAGGTCATGGTTGTCCCAAAGGTGCTTTTTTAAAGAGGCAACTGGACTTTCTGGTTTTTAACATATTTAACAGATAATCAGAGTTGGAAGGGACCTTATAGGTCATCTAGTCCAACCCCCCTGCCCAAGCGGGAGCCCCTACACCATTTCTGACAAGTGGCAGTCCAATCTCTTCTTGAAAGTCTCAAGTCATGGCGCTCCTACAACTTCTAAAGGCAAAGCTGTTCCATTGGTTGATTGTTCTCACTGTCAGAAAGTTTCTCCTTATTTCCAGCTTGAATTTCTCCTTGTTCAGTTTCCATCCATTATTCCTTGTCTGGCCTTGTGGTGCTTTAGAAAATAGCTTGACCCCTTCCTCCCTGTGGCAGCCCCTCAAATATTGGAAGACTGCTATCACGTCTCTCCTGGTCCTTCTCTTCACTAGACAAGCCATGCCCAGTTCCTGTAAGCATTCTTCATGTGTTTTAGTCTGCAGTCCCCAAATCATCCTGGTTGCTTTTATTCGAAGACGTTTCACTTCTCATCCAAGAAGCTTCTTCCGCTCTGACTGGATGGTGGGGAATGGTCAGAGCGGAAGGAGCTTCTTGGATGAGAAGCGAAACGTCTTCGAAGAAAAACCAGAAAGTCCAGTTGCATCTTGGGAAAAAATCCCCTTTGGTTCATTTCCAGCTTTTCCTTTTTTTATACAAGTTGAATTCTTAGGGCAACTGAAAAAAAACCCCAACCCTGCCTTCCTAAATCAGATCCAGATAGTTCCTCAACTTACAACCGTTCATTTAGTGACCGTGCAAAGTTACAACGGCACTGCAAAAAGTGACTTATGTTCATTTTCCACACAACAGTTGCTGCCTCCCCGTGGTCATGTGATCAAAATTTGGGTGCTTGGCAACAGGCTCATATTTATGACGGTCGCAGTGTCCCTGGATCACAGGATCCTCTTTGGTGACTTTCTGACAAGCAAAGTCGATGTGGAAGCCAGCGTCACTTGAACAACCCTGTTACTATTTCACAACTGCAGTGAATCCCCCCAAATAACCCTGGCAAACAAGGTAAAATGGGGCACTTAACAACTATCTCACTTAGAAATGGAAATTTGGGGCTCAGTGATAGTCGTATGTTGAGGATTACTTGCAGGGGTGGGATTCAAATTTTCTAACAACCGGTTCTGTGGACATGGCCATGTGACTGGGTGCGCATGGCTTTTTTGGCAAACACCCCCATCCCACATTTTTGGGGCCTTCTGAGCCTTGGGGATATTTGCTCCCCTCCTGGGGGATATTTGCTCCCAGGAAGCTTCCCTGAGGCCCAGGAAGACACAAAATGGAGGGTGGAGGGGTGCTGTGCCTCCCCCTCCATTTTTTGACTTCCTGGGCCTCAGAGAAGTGAAGCAGTAAATAAGCGAGGGGAATCCCGGCACAGCTGATCATAGGAACAGCTGATCGTCAGGAGGGGGGGAAAAAAACCCCTTAAGGCTGTAATGGCGAACCTATGGCACGTGTGCCACAGATGGCACACAGAGCCATTTGTGCCAGCACACGAGCTGCAGGCAAACTTACCTCACTGCGCATGTGCGCGCCTCACAGTTGATTTTCGGCCGGTTTGAGGCCTCTTTTGGCCTCCCAGAGGCTTGAAAAAAGCCTCTGCAGGCCGAATTGGCCTGTTTTGTCACTTCCTGTTAATACCAGAAGTGACAAAATGGGCCTATTCATCCTGCAGAGGCTTTTTTCAAGCCTCTGGGAGGCCGAAAACCAGCTGTGAGGCACAGTGCAGGTAAGGGGGGGCAGGGGGATTGTGTGCACATGTGCAGGGGGTGTGGGGGGCATGCATTGCTTTCTGGGTGCTGGCACACAAGCGCACGAGTGCCAGTGAACACACAATTTTGGCACAGGAGCCCAAAAAGGTTAGCCACCACTGCCTGGAGTCTAGTCACTGGAGTGACTAGACAGGGAAGAATGCAGTCAGCAATGTTGGACATGTGTGCAATGTTGCGCATGCGCGATAATGACTGACTGGGCGGGGAGGGGAGGGGCAGGCAGAGAGGGGCGGGGCCAGCCAGGGGCACGATTTGCCAGTTCTCCGAACTGCGCAGAATCGTAACAACCAGTTCTATAGAACCGGTCCGAACCAGTACAATGCCCCCTCTGATTACTTATATGTATAAAAACCAGATCAGTGGTCAATTCGGGCCTGTAGAGGACAAGCCATTTTCCCCCTGAAGCAGGATTATTCTGCAAAATGTACCTCAGCAAGATATTTGGAAACTATTATTTATAGAAAGCTTTGGTCTCTGTGTGTTTTTTTTAATCAAACAATAAAACTCAAAGCAGCCTCAGATAGGGAGAGATTCGTGGAGAACGAGGCTGTGAATGCTAACTGATTGTGGAAAAAAAATTAAATCTTCCTGTCCAAGTCAGCATCTCTCTTGAAAAATAGGTGCTGGAGATGATTATCACTGACAGCTATTCTAGGAAAGTCATGCTGGTCTGGATGGGCAGCAATCCACACGTAGCTTTATTTAGCCAACATCTGAAGTGTCCAAGAAACAAGCAAAATGGCTAGTCTGCTGTGTGTTGGAAAATATGCCCATAACTTTGAAAATAGCAATAGCACTTAGACATATACCACTTTATAGGGCTTTCTTTATAGACAGCTTTACAGCCCTGTCTAAGCAGTTTACAGAGTCAGCCTATGGCTCCCAACAATCTGGATCCTTCTTTCACCCACCTCGGAAGGATGGAAGGTTGAGTCAACCTTGAGCCTGGTGAGAGTCGAACTGCCAAATTACAGGCAGCTGGCTGACAGCAGAAGTAGCCTGCAGTACTGCACTTTAATCAATGTGCCACCGTAGCTCAAATAAACCCGTAGAACAACAAAAAAAAAACTATTATTTTTCTTGCCTGTCAAGAGATTGCAGAGAATTTTCTGTGGAGCTTACAGGTAGGCCTCAATTTAGAACCATAATTGTGGCTGGATTTATGGTCATAAGTTGTGCCAGTCATTAAGCGGATCATCACAGAGCCAAGCTGGTTTTAAATTTTGGGGGGAGGAATTGTTAAACGAGACCATTGTCTGCAATGGGGTTTGGTTGTTGTTGTTGTTTTTGCTGGAAATCAGAAATAAACAACAGTTCCTCACAAAAAATATCATAAATCGCCATCCTACGACTGCAGGACACTGCAAATGGCCGTAAATCAGTGGTGGGAATCAAAAATTTTGACTACCGGTTCTGTGGGCGTGGTTTGGTGGGCGTGGCAGGGGAAGGATCCCCATTCCTTCCCACTCCTGAGGGAAGGATATTGTAAAATCCCCATTCCCACCCCACCCCACTAACCTGCTTTCCAGCTCCATTCTCCTGTGCAGGGAAACCAAAGAAGACCCAGCTGATCAGCTGGGACTTGGGAGGCAGAGAATAGATGGGGGAAGGGCCAGCCAGAGGTGGGATTTGCTGGTTCTCCGAACTACTCAAAATTTCCACTACCGGCTCTCCAGAACTGGTCAGAACCTGCTGAATACCACCTCTGCTATAAATATTTAACTGGTTGCCTAGTACCCAAAATGTGATCATGTGACTTTGGGGAGAGGGATGGCCACTGGAACTTCTAATCTGGGTTGTATCTTTTTTGGGAGGTGGGGGTGGTCCGTTGTAACTTCAAACCGGTCATAAGTCAAGGACTGCCTGTACTGCATTTCTTTGGGCATGAAACGGAGCAGCGATCCCTCGGCCAGCCTGCTCTGTTTCCTCTTCTGGAGAGGATGACTTATAAGCAAGAAATTCCTTGTCCTCTACAACGGCCAGCATTGATAGCTATTGGGCAAGGACCTTTTGGGGACAGGGATGAATGGAGGAAGGGTTCTTTCCTAGGAGAAGATTGATCCAAGAACTTGAAGGCAGGGGTAGGGTTGTCCCGGTTCGGCCCAGTTCAAGTGAACCGGTAGTTCCGGTGTTCATTTGGCCCTGCCCATCTGCCCCTGCCCTAGTCTGTCCTTTATTTGTGTTTTGCAGCTTAGCTGATTCACGCAGCACAAATTGCTGTGCCTCAGCTGTTTTACTCACCGGGGCTGCAGTAGAAAGTAAATATTAGAGCTGAAAATGGGTGGTTTTGAAACACGGCACACGTGCGTAAAGCATGCACTCACCAGAACCGATTGTTACACGAGTTGAATCCCACCACTGCCTGAAGACACTTTAAGGAAAAGATCTTGTGGGGATCCAGCAATTACCTTCATGGCTTTCTTGGCCACTTCACTGCTGCCAATGACAACGGTGTCAGGTCCCGCCATGCTGCAGAAGCTGCGGAGATGCAATGTTCCTGAGACAGGAACGGTAGACACAGCAAAATCCTGCAGGAAGAGAACACTGCTTGAGCTGCTGCAGAGCCCCCCGAACCATATGTAAGAACATCTCTTCTCTTTCCTACCTCCTATCAAGGACGTGATTTTACCCTTAACCCAGGGGTCTGCAACCTGCGGCTCTGGAGCTGCATGCAGCTCTTTTGGCCCTCTGTTGTGGCTCCCTGTCGGCTGATCCCACCACTGGCTGGCCACTCCCCTCCCCATTACTCCTCACCTGGCCTGAGAAGGTAAGGGTGATGACGGGGAATGGAGACTCGCTCCATACTCCAGAGCAGGAGGTGACTGGGTGGAAGTGAGTGACGTTGAGTTGGCCACGCCCACCCAATCACACCGGTTGTTAAATTATTGGCTCCCGGTGTATTTTCTGTGGAAAATGGGTCCAAATGGCTCTTTGAGCGTTTAAGATTGCAGACCTCTGCCTTAACCTCACTTGAACAGTATATATGAATCACACTTCACTTGAAAAGTATATATAAATCACACTTCACAATTTGAGGCCCGCTGAGAACTATTGGGTTTCAATGCCCACCACCAAATGGCTCACCTTGAAAACCCATGAGATATCGGAATTCCTCCACTTATCATTTTTATTTTATTATATAAACTACAAAGAAGAAAAGGAGAAAATAGGAAATTAAGGGAGGGAAAGGGAGCGGGGAAAAGGAGGTGTGAGACAGAAGGGGAAAGAGAAAAAGAAAGAAAAGGGAGCATTGACTTCCAACTCTTCTTAGCGCTGTACAAGATAAACACACTCCAACCTCAACTTCTTGCTTTTACGCATTAGTATATAACTAGCCATTCCTATAACACCAAATATGTCTAATCAACAAAACCAATTTCTTCACAAGCACAAATATTAGAAGTGAGAGATATCTGAATTCAATTGAACTCAGGTATCTCCTGGTAGGTTCAGGTAGGTTCTGAAACAGGAATTAAAGAAGTACAAAAATGTTGAATCATTTCAAGCATGGATCACTTTAGGTAAGGTTACTTCCAGGGAACTCTGGACCCACAGCATCTGATTCAGACCAGAAATCCTTCACATGTGAATCATATAGCATACCTCTGATGGGGATGAAGTCCTTGGCTGGCAAGGGAATTCTGGGAGTTGAAGTCCACATATCCTTAAGCCGCCAAGGCTATGAAACACCATTCTAGAGGGGCATTCTGGGAGTTGAAGTCCACAAATCTTTAAGCCACCAAGACTGTGTTCCAGATCTAGAGGGTGAATTGAGAGCCCCCTTCTTTGGGGGATGGAAACATAGACAGAGACGGACATCATCGTTGTCTTGCTATGTGCGCTGGACTGTATTCCTGAAGTTCTCCATTCTAAAGCGTTCAAAGCTAACAGCAAACACTGAATTTTGCACTCCTCTGTGAGGTATTTGCTACCTGACTGCCACCCATTTTGGACTAGCATCCTTATTATTCTCAATTAACGTGGTTGGGTTAAAGAGCACTGCATTCTGCAATGGGTTATTGGGTTGAGAAAGGCTGCTTAAAACATGTATCAGAATCCCCTACTGCGGACATCTTCACAGGATCTCTCTTGGGAGAAAAAACTCCCCCTAAAGTGAAAAAAAAATCCCAATTTGGAAAAGTAATGTATGGGAGATTCTTAATCATGCAAGTTACGGTTTTCTCAAAGGTGCTTTCCAAAAGGCACAATAAGTTTTTTGTTTTTTTAAAAAAACATTTCACTTCTCATACAAGAAGCGAATAAGTTTTTGGGATGAGAAGCTAAATGTTTTCAAGGGGAAAAAAAACAAGAAAGTACCTTTCGGGTATCTTTTGAGATATAATGTTCTTACTGTTGTTATTGTTTCTACATCATGCTGTTCTCTTGTAAGGCAAAAAAATAAATAAATGAATGTACACCTTTGTTTTTAAATAAAGGCCTATTTACCTGCACTATCATGTATAATATATGAAGGGCCTGAAATAAAATCAGTGTTAATCTGGTTGCTGAAATTGTGACCTTTAAGCATGTCAAAATGGTGCTTTGCAATACTGGCAGTTGCTTAGCTTGCAAAATGTTGTAGGCAAAGAGGAAGTGTGCACTTAAAATACTGTACATGTAAAAAAATAACCACGTTGTAACATTTAGGTTGGAGGAATGGACAACTGGCCCTCTTGCTAGGACATGCTGGCGGAATCCTGAAAGTCATGTGATTTTGTGGTTTTAAGGTATATAACGAAATGTTGAATAATGGGAAGTTGCCAATTGGCCTCAAGCCGTCCCTTTTGACAGCTTGTCCAACTGACCCTCATTGCAATGTGATTAATGTAAGTGGTTTATGTTTAAATTCTAATAAACCTCTGAAACCTAAAAGTGAGAATTTTGTGGTGTGCTGTCTGTTCAATTGTTATTACAGTTTCCCCGAAAATACGACCTATCCTGGAAGTATAAGTCCTAGCTTGATTTTTACATGTGCGCCCAATATAAGCCCTAACCCCAAAATAAGCCCTAATTAAGATCCTGGCAATCCAGAATACACTGGTAAAAATTAAAGTAGGGTGGGGATGGCAGGGGTGGGGGTGGAACTGCCCTATTACCTACCTTCTGACAGTTGTAGCCAGGCTTCACACACCCCGACACCTGCCTTGCCGGCCCATTTCTTCTGCAGCCATCAAGGCTGACAAGGCTTTCGAGAAATCCTCTGTATCTGATAACAAAGCTCTGGATCGATCCAGAGTTCTGTTATCGGCTGCAGAAGCCTTCCACCTGCAGAAGAAGTTCCTAAAGGCCTCTGACAGCAAAAAGGAGGCTGGGGGTGATGCACGCAAATGAGGCTAGTCAGTGGATGGCATCCCCGAAAATAAGACCTGGTGCCTTTTTTGGTGACAAAAAAAATATACGACAGGGTCTTATTTGGTGGGGGGGGGGACACACAGTAAGTGCAGCTATGCTCATAATCAGTTTCTTCCCCTGACAACCTCAAAATTGGCCCTGTTCAATATAGAATATAAATCTACAGAAGAAAAACCGAGAACAGTATCCAGGATATACCAGCATCCGTGTATAAATATATCTTTGAGTTATGCGGATGACCTATTCTATGAAAGTCAACTCACTCTAAAAGCATCAGCTACCATCTCTGCTCCTCTGTGATTGGTCCATTTGGAAATACCCACAAAGAATTCTCTACCTGTGGAAGAGAAAAGGAAGGTGGAGAACAGGATCATCAGCTCTTAAGAAGCTCTCCGCAGGCTGAAGAAACCTTCAGGTAGTCCTCGACTTACGACCACAAACTGATCCCAAAATTTATCTTGCTAAGTGAGACATTTGTTAAGCTACAATCATGGGGGATGTTAGGTTGTTAACTATGCAAAACAGCCGTAAGTCACTTTTTTCAGTGCTGCTGTAATTTTGGACAGTCACTAAATGAACTGTTGTAAGTTGAGAACTACCTGTACAGCTCAAATCCAACCAAAAACTAAGCATCACATTTCACTGGAAGAAAAATCTTAATAGGTAGGATTATGATATATAATAAAGAGGTCTTTATTTGAACAAATGTTCAATCCTCAAGCATGCTGTTGATGCGGGAGGGTTTTTCCTTCTGTTCAATGGCATCTGATTTTTAAGAGACTGCTAGGACGAGTCCCTGCAGTTTTCTTGGCAAAGTTTTTCAGAAGTGGTTTGCCTTCTTAGGGTTGAGAGAAAATGAAAGGCCCAAGGTCACCCAGCTGTTAATATTAGGGTGAGTTAATTTGCAGCCTCAGCGTTGCACCTGGCCTCCTCCAGCCCTCTATTTTGTAATCCCTGAAATGCTTTCTTACACTATCAAAATTCAATAGTGTTAGTTCCCATCTTGTATTAGGAAGGAAGCCCAGAAAAACTAATGTAGTTTTAACATTTTTAAAAGCTACCTCTCCAATTTAATAAAAAAAAACCTGGTCAAGCCAGATCCTATTCATATATATTATCAAATTTCAATAGTAGAGAATATATATGCAGCTCAGGATTAAACTGCCGGCACTTTGGTGTTCTCTGGTTGTTTTCCCACAAATGCTTAACATTGCACTGATGTTATCAAACTTGGTAATGAACATCTGGAAGAAAATTGTCAAGCTCAGAGAACATCCCAGAAATTACCAGATTAGAATGACTCACTGCATTCTATGAACTTAAATAAAGTTCTATCAATTGAATGAATGAATAAATAATGAATAAATTTCCCCCCCAAACAAAAGGCAACTTCTGCATCTCAAATAATTGTTCACTTCTGCTTTAAAATATCAAGCTATTTTGGGTTCTGCAGCATCAGATCTTTCTTCACTGGCTCTCACTTGTCCGGAATGATATAGGGTGAACAGGCGGTTGGACTAGATGATCTCCAAGGTCCCTTCCAACTCTTTTATTCTATGTTCTGTCTTCTTATTCTGAAGGATAAAAAGCCAACTCACCTGTAAAGAGCACATCGCTTCCATCCAGGGTGGCTCCCTCATCTGTAACTTCCACCACACGAAGTTTTAGCTCCTCCAAGACCTTTCTGACACAGCTGATCTGTAAAAATGACAGACATGAAATGGGGAAGGAGGCAGAAAGACAGAGACACTTGTTATGGCTGGAGCACTTAAGCTTAACTTTCCTTAGGTGTTTTCATTCTTAATACCTCTTCAGACAAATGTCAGGATTCCGGCAGTTACTCCAATTAAATCATGAGCCTCAAGCCACACACCCAAAACTTCAAAGAATTTATTAGAAGTTAACATGCCGGCATTTACCTGGGCGTAATAAATAATTCACTGTCACCCTTGATCCTACATTTCCCCCCACCCCCACCCCTCTGGGTGTATCATCCAACAAAACACGTCCATAGCCAAGAGTCACCAATCATGCTCTCCAATTAGATTTTTGCATGGCAGAAGCTTCAGTCATCTAATCAGTCTCTGAAGAAAATATGAATGGAATGTACTTTCGATTCCACACAATATTAAACAGAGGCTTCCATCAAATGGCTTCCTGCCCCTTAGTTATTACTAGACAACCAATGGCCCATTGGGTCCTCCTTTGAGAGAAAGACAGTGCAGCATGATGGAAGAATTGCAGTGGCAAACGATAATTGATAATTGTTCAAGGCAGAGAGTGTCAGAAATCACAATAATGCAAAATAGGACAACTTGCCATAGCCACACTTGCCGCGGCCAACTCACCCACAGCCAACTCGCGATGGCCAACTCACCATGGCTAACTCGCCATGGCTAACTCGCTGCGGGATAACTCACCACAGCCAACTCGCCATGACTAATTCACCATGGGATAATTCACCACAGCCAACTTGCCATGGGCCAACTCACTACAGCCAATTCGCCATGGCCAACTCACCATAGCTAACTCACCATGGCTAACTCGCTGTGGAATAACTCGCCACAGCCAACTCATCACTGCCAACTCGCCCTGACTAATTCACCGTGGGATAACTTGCCACAGCCAACTTGCCATGGGACAATTCACCATGGGACAATTTAACAATTGAGTGACGTTGAACTGGACATGCCTACCCTGGTCACGCTTACCCTGGCACCCAAGGTCAAGCACAACCCTGATGCAGCCTTAATGAAATTGAGTTCGACACCCCTGTCCTACTGATAGCCCTTCTGATGAAACAGCCTAGTGGTGATTCAGACCAGTGGTGGGATTCAATATTTTTTTACTACCGGTTCTGTGGGCGTGGCTTGGTGGGTATGGCAGGAGAAGGATCCTGTAATATCTCCAGTCAGAGGTGGGATTTGTCGGTTCTCTGAACTACTCAAAATTTCTGCTACCGGTTCTCCAGAACTGGTGAGAACCTGCTGAATACCACCTCTGATTTAGACCATTGATGGAGAAGAAGCTTTTCTCCCTCCCTTCCAAATAATATCCCATTCCAGACTGAATCTCGTCCCTGAATAAGGCAAGAACGCTAGAATGTTGTGTGATTTTGGATGCTGTTTTTCTAAGCCCTTCTCTATATATATCTACAGTGCATGAACTTGGACGTTCCAATCCGCCTCTAAGAAGAAGAAAAAATGCAATCACATGAACGACCTTTAACTTGATCCATTATTCTTTTGTTGCATCCTCATGCCACAGCGATGCTGGGGCTGTTCTAATTTTATCAATGACTCATCTCTTTCTCCCCCACATAAGCACTTTTTAATTTAATTTTCATGGATCGGGTGCGCTTCTGCTTTTGAAAACATCAGTGAGTTTCCTTCATTGCAAATGCGGCCTTCCTTTTGCTTTCTCCGCTTCAATCCTCTATGCTTAACAGTCCAAGAGATTTCAGTTTTTGAGGAATATTTTAAAATGAGTGTTTGTCTTAAAACACACACACACACACACACACACACACACACACACACACACCTTTCCAGAGCTGCAAGGAACCCAGAATGGAAGCTTGGACTCACAATAAGTTAGATCCTACAATTCTAGCTCTACAAACACTCCCATGATTCCTATAGTGCAGTATTTCTCAGCCTGGGCAACTTAACATGTGTGGACTTCAACCCCCAGAATTCCACAGTCACCATGGCTAGCTGGGGAATTCTGGGAGTTGAAGTCCACATGTTTTCAAGTTGCCAAAGGCTGAGAAACACTGTTATGTAATCCTTGATTTACAATCCTTTGAAGTTCAAACAGATCTACTAGGGGAGGGGGGTTACTTTGAACCCAGATTCAAAGTTCTCATAGTTGTCTCCCCCCCCAAAACCCACTTCTTCCAGCGCTTGACAAACAGGCGACATTTATTGCCATTTGCAAAAATCAAGATGGCATTCATAATGAGGTGATCAAAACCCAGCCTCCTTTCATGTATACATCAATATGGAGGTGGGGTTATGATCACGCAGCTGTAGACCTCTGGACATTTTGGATATGCAATGCAGACCCACTTAAGTGAGAGCATATTGACCATGGCAGACAGAAATCAACTCTGGGACCTACCACCCAAAAGGATGATACATTCTCTGTGGGTATTTCCAATATAGGCCCAGACATGGCACATGAATTTTTCAAGCAATCCTACATATCACTGATGGGATTCATTTTTTTTTTTTACTACCGGTTCTGTGGGCATGGCTTGGTGGGCGTGGCAGGAGAAGG